AAATTCTTTGTCCATTCCACTTTCTAACCCATATACGCTTAAGTTTTTCAGACACTTCTTGTTCAATTTCCTCTATAAGTATGTGAATTATATTTCTTATAATATTATTTAATTGCCCGTCGTGTGTCCATTTTGAGTACCACTAAAGTGTCTTGAGCGTATTAAATGTGGACAGTTGCCATCTAGTAAACGTGGCTACTCGACTAAATTACTAAACNAATAAAAAACACCTAGTCACGATAACCGTTTATTTCATAACCTATTTCTAAACTCTCTTTACATACTTATATGTCTAAACTAACTTAAATGGTAACACAGTTGCCTATCTACAACATCCCCCTCTTTAGTCTCATTAACGATCTCAATACATTTCAAAGTCTCTAAATCTTTCTGGTAGTCGTCTTTCTCGTTTTGGTACATTGTCTCTTTTTTGTGATTCTATTTTAGTCATATTCGTGTTTTCTTGATTGTTCATTTCACTTGTTTTGACACTATCCTGAATATCATAATTTGATTTCATCTCTGGTTCATTCATTGATTTTCTCAAAAATTGACTATTTCTTCTAAATATATTATTACTCTCATCCTTCACCAAATATGATCTTGGATATTCTAATTTCTTTTCTATTTGTGCTGGTACCCATTCTTTTTCGTTTCTCATTATGATATAATCTCCTTCTTTAAAATCTAATTTACCTTTTGCTGATTTGTCATATTGTTTTTTATCTTCTTCCCTTTTGTCTTGAATTTGTTTTTTAATGATATCATTATTTTTTAGTTTAGGCATTAGTTGTTTATTCAAAATCGGTAGCTTACTTTTCAAATTTCTAGACATCAAAATCTGAGCAGGAGTTAAACCAATATTTATAATTGGTGTATTCCTATATTCCAGTAAACTGTATTGTAAATCGCTTGTTTTTCTTAGCATGTTCTTAGCAATATGTACCGCTTTCTCAGCTAAACCATTTGAACGTGGATAATGTGGGCTGCTTGTTTTTATTTCAAAGTTCCACATTTCCGCAAATTTCTTATATTTGTATGAATTGTATGGCATGTTATCAGAAACTACAACATCTGGTATTCCATGAGTTGAAAATATTCTTTTCATATTATCTATAACACTATCTGCTGTTTTGTTCGGTAATGATAAAACTTCTAACCATCTAGAGAAATAATCAATAACAACAAGGAACGGTTTTCCTGCAAAATCCAGTATATCTGTTCCCAGTTTCTTAAATGGTCTATTTGGTATTTCATGTGGTATTAACTTTTCTTTTGCATTTTTTGGTAGATATCTTTCACAAATTTTGCACTTTAAAATATAATTTTCTATATCTCTGTTCATTCTAGGCCAATACATAATAGTTTTTGCTTTTGCAATAGTTCTTGTTACTCCTATGTGTGTCTTATGTAATAACTCCAACATGCTTTGTTTACATTCATTTGGTACTATTAATCTGTCTTCTAAAAATAGTAAACCATTTTCATATGTGATATCGTGTTTGTGTGGCCAATAATATTTTAATTGTTTTGGTAACTTTTTATAAACAGGCCAACAGTTTGTTGTATATTCAATCAATTTCTTAAGATCACAATCATTTTTCACTTCTTCTTGAAATATTTTTCTCTTTTCTTCTGTAATGTTTAAATGCTTTTCTACTGAATGTACTAAATCAAATAGTTCCTTATCATCAACTACAACTTCATCCTTGATATAATTTCTTGATAATAGGTCGGCAATATGTAAGTTCTTTCCAGATGTATATTCAAAATTGAACTGATATTTCAGTAATTTAATCCTCATTTTTTGTAGTCTTGGTGACACAATTTTCGTTATTTCCTTCTTAAATATCCCAATCAATGGTTTATGATCATTTATGATTTTTATTTTTTTGTTATAGACATAGTAATGGAATTTTTGAAATGAAAAACATACGGCGAGCATTTCTTTCTCAATTTGTGAAAATTTACTTTCATTTTCTGTCAAACATCTCGACGCATAACACACTGGTTTTCCGTCTTGCAACAAAGCACTTCCCAATCCTTTACTTGATGCATCACATTGTATCGTTATATCTTTTTCAGGGTCGAAATTTTTTAAGACTGGCTCTGTCGTTAATATTTGTTTTAATTTTGTCAAAGCTGATTCGTGTACTGATAACCAGTTAAATTCAGTATCCTTTTTTAGTAATTCCCTTAAAGGCTCAATGATGTTGCTGTAATTCTTTATAAATCGTCTTAGGTAATTTAACATTCCCATTATTCTTTGCAATTCTTTTATGTTTGTTGGTGCTGCTATTTTATTTATGGCTTTCACTCTATCTATATCCGGTTTTATGCCTTCTTCACTAAAGACGTGTCCTAAATATTTCACTTTATTTATTTTATATTGTATTTTATCAGGGTTAAATTTAATATTTATTTTCTTCGCTCTTTCCATAACCAATTTTAAAATTTTATCATGTGTTTGTAAGTCTTTTGTCGCAATTAGTATATCGTCAAAATATACACAAACATTAGGAATATCTCCAAAATTCTTTTCCACCAACATTTGGAAAAATTCAGGAGCACTGATGATTCCAAAAGGCAATCTATTAAACTTATAACACCCAAAATTAGTCGAAAAGGTTGTCAAATCTTTAGATTTATCCTCCAATTCAACCTGGTAGTACCCATCCTTTAAATCCAATACCGTAAAATATTTCTTCCCAGACAACTTTGAACAAATATCCTCTATAGTTGGAATAGCATAATAATTTCTTTGAATTTCTTTATTTAAGTCTTGTGGGTCTAAACACAATCTTATTGATCCATTCGGTTTTTCAACAATTACTAAATTATTTATCCATTCCCCCGGACTTTCTACTTTACTAATTATTGTTAATTTCTCTAATTCTTGTAACTTTTTCTGTAATCTATTTCTTAATCCTAATGGTACTCTTCTCGGTAACTTTATAATAGCTTCATAATTTGGTTTTAGTACTAATTTACACTTTTCTCTAAATTTACCTAACCCCTTAAAGTTTCCTATGTTTTCTTTTACAAACTTATCTTTTTCACATTTACTATTTTTATATGTAATTTGATCTAATTTTTTAATAAACCCTAAAATTTGTGAACTTTCACACCCTAGCAATGGAGACGAGTCGACATCTACAACAATAAATTTCAAAATTTCCTCTTTTCCTTCTCCTACTTTACATTTAAACTTAACGTAACCAATAGGTTTAACTTTAGTTCCCCCAAATGCTTCTAATGTAATATTTGTATTTTTAATTTCAACATTTACAAAATACCTTTTTAATACTTTCAACGGCAAAATATTTACCTCCGCTGCACTATCTACTTTAAATCTAATTTCTACATTATTTAACAATATTTTTTCATACCAAACATTAACACTATTTATGTCTTTTTTAATACTTATTGTACTTATCCTAAGAGATTCTTCTTCATTACTGCTATTTTCATCTTCATTTACTTCTTTTATCTTCTTCACTCTGCATGATTTTGCAAAATGATTTAGAAATCCACATTGATTACATTTTTTCCCATAGGCTGGACATTCCCTTGGACCATGCTTCTTTTGACATCTTCGGCACAAGAAACTTTTTTCTTCATTTTTCCTTTCTCTATATTTTCCTTTAATATTCTTTTGTTCCTCATTTTTCTTTATTATTTTATTAACTTCAACATTTTTCATATTCTCCACATGAGATTTCGTGATTTCAGCAGTTCGACATTCTATTTCAGCTTTTTCAAGAGTCAAGTCCTCACGACTTAATAACTTTTCTTGCAAACTTTTATTTGATACACCTAGAACAATTCGATCTCTAATCAGAGAATCTTTCTGATCTCCAAATTCGCATGACATTGATAATTTCTTCAATTCCGTAACAAAATGATCGAATGTTTCCATCTCTTCTTGTTTTCTATTAAAAAACTTGAATCTCTCATATATCACGTTTTTTCTCGGACTCGTATAAGCCTCAAAGGCATCTATAACTTTCCTGTATATTTTCCTTTCTTCATCTGATAACCTTAATGTGTTAAATATTTCCACAGCTTCCTCTCCAATAATATTCAAAAGTATAGCAACTTTCACTTCATCTGATTTCCCATCTTTGCCTGTTGCCATCATATAAATTTCGAAATTTTGCTTAAACTTTTTAAAGTTTTGGCTAAGGTTGCCTTCGAGCACTAAGCCACATGGAATTCTTGCGTTTTCCATTTTAAAATTTATTTATAACACTTTATTCTTCTTGAATATATATCTTCTAGTATGACTGCGCCATGTTTTATATATTTGATATTTAGTATTAATATTTAGTAACACTTAAAATAAAAAACACCTAGTCACGATAACCGTTTATTTCATAACCTATTTCTAAACTCTCTTTTCATACTTATATGTCTAAACTAACTTAAATGGTAACACAGTTGCCTATCTACAACAAACACATTTCGATATATAACGAAAATCAAATTAAATTTAAAAGAAAAGAATATTTCACGGCACTCGCGGATAATCGGGGCTCTACTGTATTTCAATTTTTTAACATTATAATATTTTTAGAGTAAACTGATGTCTAATTGAACAGATGAGTTTGTTGACTTTTTATAGAACTATTAGGATTTTTTGACTGTAAGTTTTAAGTTTTTTATGTTTTGTTTTTATTTATCTGGTTCTTTTTGTGATGTGTAAATTTTTATTTAATAGATTTGGCTGAGGATGGTTAATGATTTTAATCGAAACTAGTCCCAAGTAAATAAATACAAAATTTTCTCAGAGGAATTTGAAGCCTTCTTAAATTTTTTTGATTTTTAATAAACCTTTTTAATTATTATTCTCTCTGAATATGGATTTTCTGAAATTAATGAATTATCGCCATCGTTTTTAGGAACTTTCGTCGCGTTGCAATACCAATTTGTGATATTGGTTGCATACTTTGTCGGGTAGGATAATTAATTAACACACTGTAGTTCTAGTTTAGTTTAAAATTAATCAATTTTCTTTACTCACCAATTGGTATATAACAAGGTATAACAGCATCTGCACAATCCTCTGCGAATTTAAAAACTTTCTCCTGCGAAGGATTTTCTAAATCATCAAAAAATATTCCCCCAACACCTCTCCTTTCACCCCTATGTTGTATATAAAAGTAATCATCACACCATTTCTTAAACATCTCGTAATAAGATTTATTGTGTTTATCACAAGTTTCTTTAAGAACTTTGTGAAAATGTCGCGCGTCCTCTTCGTTTAAATAATACGGCGTTAAATCTGTACCACCACCGAACCACCAATATATTTGATCACCATCTTTTACCTCGAAATACCTATAGTTGAAATGAATAGTTGGAACATGGGGATTTCTTGGATGAATAACAGAACTGATTCCCGCTGCGAAAAACGGTAATCGATCTTGAGATAATTTTTTTCCTCGAGCTCGCATCATTGCAATGGCGTTTGGGGTTAATTGACCGTGTACAACGGAAATGTTTACGCCAGCTTTTTCAAAAACTTTTCCATCTTGTAAGACACAAGTTATACCGCCACCTCCTTCTTTGCGTTCCCAACGATCGACGGTGAATTTTTTCCCATTTTCTTCTTCATTTTCTAAAGCACGACACACCTCTTCTTGGACTCGAAGAATCATTAGTTCCATACGCGATTTCATGTCGTTCGGATTATCAATGAGATCTTTTATAGGGGTCACCGGGGTTGCCATAAATGTACTTGGGTTTGTTGAGGTTATCGCTTTAGCCATTTCCGCCTTTAAGTTTAACGCGGAAAGCGCTAATCCTGAACCTATTAAAACTGTACCGCATTTCCTTTAAAAAAATTAAATTATGACAGTTTTGATATAACCTAAAATTTAATGATTTTAATTTTGTGGGGATTTACCATAGTTTTCCAATATTTTGTTGCCGCTGATAAAAAACGATCGAACAATTCGTAATGAAGACTTTAAGTAACATTTTGAGAGGTAAATATTTTGGATTTTTTTTGATGGGTTTAGTTGGACGCGGGTTTCTAACCTCACTTTTGAACTGTCATGTAAATAAATCGTCGATCTCTGTCTGACAAGTGTGGAAGATATCGTGGTCGTGGTGGAAGGAATAATTTAAATTTGGCAGAGTGCGCATATGCAGGTGATTTGGTATGTGTGAGGCCCCGATTATTAGTACATCTGTTTTTCTGTATCGATCTGTCAAAAAAATTGATAACCTTAAAGGTAGTAGTGCGGGTAATAATTTGTCGTCGTTTTTCGGTCAGAAAAACCGGGACACAGTACGCGGATTGGCGAACCTGCGCCATATCAACCCCGTCTGGTGGCGCAGAATTCCGCGGTCGGATCAAGCCAAGACATTTTCCTTCTTCGTCGGATACGTGGTGTCGGTGAGACGAGACTCTCATCAAGTTTAGGGGGTTGAACTACGGGAAAACAGGAGCGATTTCCCGAGAGTTTCCCGTGCGACAAACGGTTGGAGTAACGCGTCGGTGTCGCACGTGTCACTCGGGGGTCGATACAGCAGGCTGCAGGATGGTTTGAAAAATCATCGGCGGCGGCCCCTTTTTCCTCTCTATTTGCAATGCGAAGAGACCGAGATCGAGATAGAGACGGCGATCGTAGAGAAGTCATGAAGAAGTTTACGATAAAGGGGGTCTTGGACAACTTCCGGGCGTCGGTGGCGCAGACCGCGAGACCTGATCAAGAGATCCAGGAGAATCTCAAAACTGAACATTTCCAGGTCAAACGGGTAAGTTTCCAATTTTATTTTATTTTCAGATTAACATTTTCGAATTTCCCGCCCCGTTCCGTCATTATATTTCGAATTTTCAACGATAATTACTTAGATAACGTTCCGTTATCTTTTGCGACTTTTTCACTTCGGAAAAATACAACATAAAAAGTCGGCATTCCGAATAAACAAAGCTCCAAACGTTATCTACCCCATACTGTTATTTATATTTCGCTGTTTCCTTTCGTTCTTTTTATCTCATTCGAATCGATAACGTGCGTTAACGTGCAACATTTAGCGATTTTCACGATTTTTCCGATCAATTTTATTTTTAGAGATGATCATATTTACTTTACGATATTAGACAGTGTCGTATATATATCGATTTTCATGTCGTCTGTTTTTCCTCCGAGAATAGAGACAGTTTCAAAGGAAACAAAAAGAACCGGAATGGGGTAAAATGAAAAGCTAAAGCGACGGAAATAAAAATGCCTTTGTTTTGCTTGAAAAATTACTCAAACTATTATTTTTTAAAACGATAACAACGTAATTAATCTAAAATTTTAATTGAAATCATATTTTGATTTTGTAAATAAAATTATTTTGATTGTTGTTAATAACAAATCCATCTATTGGTGTTAATATTAATTATTGGTATATTTGGTTGCATAAACTACATTCAAAGAAAAACAAAATTTGCATATATAGTTCGCATTACCTGTCAAATTGTTGTAAAGTTGGCAAAATTAACAGGGAGTTTTGTTTTATCATGTTTTGAAGTAAATATGTCACATTGACGTTTGAGCTTTCGTTATTCAAAAAGAAAAGGTGCATAAAAAGTGTTGTGGGGTGTTTATTTGCCATTTGCTTACCTAGAAAAGGTATTTTATTCTATTTAATTACTTTGTAGCACGTTTTTATAACAAATATGTACTTCGTCAAAATCGTATTTATCTAAAAATTTATTAGTATTTTAACCTCAACTAATTAGTTACTGACAATGTTACTAAAAATCATGAAAACAACATAAATTTTATAAGGGTCCTAGATAATACCAACAGAAACCCTAAATAATTTACATTGACAAGTATTATAGAAAAAAAACGAACTATACAAGACCTGCGTAAGACCTGTTATGATTTACGAACTCTGCAGTGTCCAAGATATAGTCCGATGATGCCGAAACAGACGTCGCGCATGGAGGGACCATATTGAGCGGGTGGATGCCAACAGATTGCCGAAAATTGCAAGGTATCCCAAGATGAAACAGACTTCCTGGACGCCTGCCCACAAGATGGTATGAAAGCTGGAATTCATCATCCCAGCCATGTCTTTAGATTATAGAGTACAAAGCAAAGCCCTTAAAAAGAGGAAGAACAAATTCTATTATGATAATACAAGGTTCTCCATAATTGACTACCTAGTTTGATATTGAAATAAATTCTATATCGTCGGCACACAAGAAAAGTGACATATCGCAAAAATTGATATTTTGCAGGAGAACGGTTTGAAAGTTTACTGCTCACGTGTATGTAAAAAAAATCAAAATATATACAAATTTTTCCAAGTATCTTTGTTAGTAACGATTTCATAACATAATGGGCTACGAAAAAGATTATTATCTAAACAGAGTTTATTGAGAATTGTGACACTGTTCTGTAAATTGTGGTTGAAGTTAAGAGACAAAATTATATCACAAATCTTGTGCTTAGACATTGAAGAACTGCTTGTAAATCATATACTGCAACGAAACCCTGTCTAAATTGTTTCCTTTATCTTTTTCTTTACGTGAGAGATCTTTTTCTATTAGATGTGTGTCATATTCTTCTTACGATCCGCAAGTTCCACATTGATCTATTTTTGGACAAAAAAAAATATTTTAAACTCGTTGTTATACAGGTGTCTCACGTAACTGGTTCGTTAGAACTTTTTTAGGTTCCAGTATTCGTACAGTTTTGAAATTTTGGTAGTATGGGTTGTTCAGTCAACTTTCGATCTAAAATATTTTCAAGATGGCTGCCACTTCCGGTCTACCGGAAGTAGACCATAACTTCGTTATTTTAAATGGAATGCTATAGTTTTTATTACACCTTTTAATTGTACTTAAAAAAATATGTTGACTTTCATAAAAGTTATTGGTACCTAGCGTTTTTTGTTTTAGAGTTATTTTGATTTTAAGATTTTTTTGGCAAATTTCACCATGCTCTTTAAAACCCTATATCCCAACCAACCTTCTTTCAAAAAAGCTCTAAATTGGCACGATTACTCTTCAGATGCTGTCAAATAGATTGTCATATATTGTATCAGAATATCTTATACAGGATGGTCAAAAATTGAATTACCGTTTCTACATATTCAATGGGGAGAAAGTCGAAAATTTTAAATGGAACGCCCCATATTTTATTAGCCTACACGAAAGGGAATTTAATTCTCTACAATTTATCTATAAACATTCCTATACTTATTTATTGTAGTTTCTCTCATATTCGTAAATTTATCAAAACATGCAGAAAATGCAGGAAACCGTTTGTATTTTTATTAGAAGGCCATAACATTTTGACAGTTTTTTGTTTAATTTATTTCTATTATTATTTGTACTATTAACTACGATTGATAATCTTTTAGTTTACTAGCTTTTACTTACCAAAAATAACAAACAGAAGATCAAATAAATGAAACTATTAAAACAAAAAGTTAATGACAAAAATTAGTTTTGAATAAAAATATAAATTTATAATATAAATTTGTTATTAAATTGAATTTGGAAATGCAATAAAATACGTTAAAATATTTATTTCGTTGTCTTCATCACTGGTGACCGGAAATATGCGATTTCTTTTGGTCTCGATATATCCAGAACTAAGAAATTCTTTATCAATTTTTTGAAATTTTTCCTTGTGATGGGCGTTAGGTTTGTTAGGCATCTCTCATTAAGTGTTCGACACGTCCTGTCCAAAAGTTTATTACATTCGCCATCAATACAAAATAAATTTCAAATATCGGCGTTGGAATACCATGATTTTTTTACCATGATGTTCAATGACTTACACCCGTCGTCAAATGTAACTAATGACAACAATAATACAAACATGGACCAAAAACTGTCAAAAATCCATAGCTTTCTAATAAAAAACCTGGATTTCGTGCATGTTTTAATAAATTTCGCAATATGAGGCAAACTACAATAAATAGGTATGAGAATGTTTATAGATAATTTGTAGAGAATTAAATTCTCTTCGTGATAGGCTAAAAAAATATGGGGCGTTCCATTTAAAATTTTCGACTTTCTCGCCATTGAATATGGAGAAACAGTAATTCAATTTTTGACCAGCCTGTATAAGATACTCCAATACAAGAAATGACAATCTATTTGACAACATCTGAAGAGTAATCGTGCCAACGTAGATCTTTTTTGAATGAACGTTGGCTGAGATATGAAGTTTTAAAGAGCATGTTGAAATTTAGCAAAAAAAGCTTAAAACCAAAATAACTCGAAAACGAAAAACGCTAGGTACCAATAACTTTTATCAAAGTCAACCTATTTTTTTACGTACAATTAAACGGTGTAATAAAAACTATAGCAATAGCGAAGTTATAGTCTACTTCCGGTAGACCGTAAGTGGTGGCCATCTTGAAAATGTTTTAGATTGAAAGTTTAAAATGAACAACCCATGCTACCAAAATTTCAAACCTCTACGAATAGTGAAACCTGAAAAAGTTCTAACTAACCAGTTACGTGAGACACCCTGTATATTAAGTAATTTGCATATGATTTATTATTTTTTTTACAGATCACTACAGTCTTTATGGAGTTAGGCCACTGTTTTTCCTCCTTCGATGTATTCTAGGCTAGAATCCTTCCTACAATAATGGCTTTCCATACGCGGTATCGAATTTATATGGCTTCGAGTACTATTTTTCTCATCGTTGTCAATTTGGTAATGATTATTATGTTTTCCTCGCTGATCTGAAGTTATCATTCCCTTAGTAGTAAATGTCTGCTTCTTAAATACAGCTCTGATTGGCCTGTCTATTATCGCTAAAGTGGATTTGGAAAAAAATTTGCAGACCCTACATTTTGTTGCATTAATCATAAAATAAAATGTATGGTTGTTTGTTCGATTACTCTGTACTCCTTTATATTGATATTTTGGATTAATCTCAACATGTTATTAATCAAGCAGGCACCTGTCACAAAACTAGGATAAAATTGTTTTTCGTAAAACGTCATAAATTTGTTAATTTAATGTTAAGTTTTAATCCTCATGGAGTATTCAGTTGAACAACGAGCATTTTGCGTAGAAACTTACATAAGAAGTAACTCAATAACAGAAGCAATTCCGTCGTCAATTTCGAAACAACAATAGGAGTTATGCTCCAAACCGTAAGACTATTATGTCATGGATTTATCACTGGCGTGAAAACGGTTCTGTACTAAATTTAAAGAAACCTAGACCTCGTAGAACAATTCGTACTCCTGAAAATATTGAATAAGTTAGAATTGCGTTTACGAGAGGTCTTCACAAGGACTTAAAATTTCATCCATATTAAACAGCGCAACATTTTACAATTAGTTATTAAGATGAACGAGCCAGATTAACGAGCTTTATGTTAGTATATACTAGAGACGTTTTTATTCCCAATTTAGAAAGAAAGGGATTACAAAATAATGCGTTATTATTCCAGCAAGATGCAGCAACAGCACATATCGTTAGAAATTCCATGAGAGTACTGCGAAAAGTGTTTAATGGACGACTCATTTCACGATATAAAGATTTAAATTGTCCTCCGAGATCCCCGGACTGAATTGCACCAGACTTAAATGTTTAATGGCGAAGCTTTTTGCAACTGGTCTTGAAGACATCCAAGAACTCAAAGACCGAATTGCCGAAGAACCAGGTTTTGCTTCATAGTGTCATGAATAATCTCTTGTCCACTCTTAAAAACTGCATTGAAGTTGATGGCGATCACTTAAAAGATGTAATTTTTAAAAGTTAGATTTTGGCAACACCTAGCTA